ACTTAGGGCGGGCACTAGGCTTGTTGGGGCCTTAGCCCAGAACATGTACATCATGGCAAGGCCCCTTCTTGAGGGCTCAATCCTCACATTCCATCCCCCTTAGCTTCGAAAGTCCGTTGAGATGCTTACTTCGCAGGTGCCTTCCCTTTTAGCATTCTTTCATACTTTGCCACCACTTGAGGAGCTGTGTCAATCAGTTCCTCTCTGGTGAAGCACCGATCTTCCTTTGGATCCGTATGATGCCTGAATCTGACACGATACTCCCGCTTGGGTCTTGGAGGTCTTCCTCTACCCAGAGGCTTTGGAACAGGCAGATCTCTGTGATCCACAAATTCGTCGATGTCCACTTGACCATCCCTGGTTGGGGGCAGCATCGATCTCCTTGAAGGCAATTGGTCTGTCTCAGCAAAAGGTGCAAGCTTTGAGGCATGAAAGACTGGGTGAGTGCGTAGATGACCAGGGATACGGATAACATAGGTAGGACCATCCATCTCATCCCCCTCTATATCCAGGACTTCCCAGGGACCAAAATATCGAGGCATTAGTTTTCTAGAGATACTGAATTCCTGTCCTAGCTCACTAGCCTTGACCTAGACACGTTCCCCCACCTGAAATGAGGATTGTCGACGATGTTTGTTCTCAGAAGCAATCATTGCTTGCTGAGCTTTCTTGATGTGCTCGACAGCTTGCTGTAGCAACTTCTCATACTGCACACCATATTCAAGTGTGCATGGAATTGCAGAGGATCGGTTTTCAGGTAGGAGGAAGTCTAGAGCTGATCTAGGCTTCCATCCCAAGTGCAGCTGATTAGGACTGACGTCGGTACTGTTGTGTACAATATTGTTCTACAGGCTGGCGATGAGAGGCAACTTCTCATCCCAATCATCCTGGCTGGGCTTGATGTAATGCCTCAACAAGTGTTGTACAACTTTGTTCATTTGCTCAGCCTGTCCGTTGGCTTCGGGATGATTCCCTTAAGTCATCTGAAGTTGACTGCCCATCTGCTCAGCAGTCTTCTTCCACAGCTCACTTGTGAATCGGACATCTCTGTCACTAACGATTGACTTTGGAAGTCCAAAATCACGCACCCAGTTGTCCATAAACAACTTGATGACGTGGTCAGTCCTTGCGGTCTCTGGCATGGCAACTAGTCTAGCGCACTCGGTGAATCGATCGATGATGACGAAGATGTGCCTCTTGCCACTCTTACTGGTCACCAGGGTGTCCATGAAGTCCATGGAAACACTTTGTCCTGGACCAGCGGGGATAGGTAAGGGCTTCAACAACCCAAGCGGTGCTTGAGTTCGCGGCTTGTCCCGCTGACAGACCTGACAGGTCTCTACATACTTCTTTGCGTCATCTAGCATTCCAGGCCACCAAATAGTTGTACTAGATTGACACTTGTCTTTTTGTAGCCGAAGTGTCCAGTTGCGTCATGACATTCCCCTAGAAATAAACTACGCAAACTCTCACTCGATGGAACTACTAACCTTTTACACCCGGCCTTATCAAGAAAGAGTAACCCATCCACCATCACAAACTCATTCTCTGTGGCCTTGTCTTTTGCCTGAAGTTTGCGGATGATGTCCATCGTGACAGGGTCTTCCTGATAGGCTCCCACCAGCGATTGAGTTACTTCCTGAGATACACCAAACTCAGAAACTAGCGCCCCTAGGGAGTCTGCTCTACGAGATAGCGCATCTGCAACCTTGTTGTACTCTCCCTTCAGATACTCAAGCTTGAAGTCATATTGATCTATGACCTCAATCCAGTGCTTGAGTGCATCGGAAAGAGCCGGTTGAGTCTTGATCCATTTGAGGGTCTGATGGTCAGTTCTCAAGTAGAAGAACCGTCCCAACAGGAAGTGCTTCCAATGGACAAGTGCCTTGTAGAGAGCATAGAGTTCCCTTTCATAGGTGGACTTTGCCAATTTCTTCGATGGCATTTTCTTGCTCATGTACTCAATCGGTCTCAACTTCTTCCCATCCTGCTGAGCCAGCACTGTGCCAATGSCGTATTGGCTTGCGTCAGTGGTCACTATGAATGGCTTCTGAGGATCGGGCACCATGAGAACCTCATGATTCATGAGTGCATGCTTCAGTCGTTTGAAAGCACCCTCGCATTCATCACTCCAGTTCGACGGCGTGTCAAGTCGAGTGAGATTTGTCAAAAGAGAGGCGACTGTGGAATAATTCTTTACAAAATTTTTATAGTAGCCGCACATTCCTAAGAAAGATCTGACCTCAGTGGCAGTCTGAGGTCGTGGCCAGTCTCGAATACTAGCCACCTTCGCATCTTCCGGCCTAATACCTTTCGCGGATACTTCATGACCCAAGTATAAGATCTTAGTGCGTCCAAACTCACACTTCTCTAGGTTAACCTTATACTTGTGTTGTCGCTAGAGAAGTGTGAGTTTGGACGCACTAAGATCTTATACTTGGGTCATGAAGTATCCGCGAAAGGTATTAGGCCGGAAGATGGCCCTTCACTCGGCCACCAGCCTTAGCCTTAACTGCTGCGGCGAGGATGCTACCCTCAGCGATCTCCTCGCCGTCGTACTCTAAAACGTCCACCAGGTCGGTGAGCTCGTCAATCTCTGTTTGAGTCCCATCGGACTCAACCATCATCAATTTAGGCCCCTTCTTCTTCCATTCCTATGGACTCTTCTTCTTCCTCGCGTCATTCTGAGAAGGTTGAGCATTTCCTAGAGTGACCTCTAAATCTAAGGCTTTTTTAGATAACGTCTCAAACGAGTGATACTCGAGGCGAGCCTCGCTGGCCAGCAAATTCCTAAGGTTCTCTGGGAGACATCTCACAAATGTGGTCAACAGGAACTGGTTATCGTAATTGATGCGGAGAACGACGATGAGGCTTTCCACGGTAGTCGTAAGCTCTCTGACTGACTTGAACTTTCTTTGGTCTAGTTTGTTTATCGCATCAGTGGCAATTTGTGTCTACGGTGGATTGTGCCAACGAGCTTCTACCATCTCTAAGAACTGGTCTAACATAATGGTCTTAGCCCAGTCCGCCATGCGTCGTCCGTACCCGGCCTTTGCAACTAAACCATTCAGCTATTTGGCTGCCTTACCCTCAAGGTAAGATGCAGCAGTAATCACCTCCTCCTGCAAAGTCCTCTTCGCCTTTACCCATACCGGAACCGTTCTCAACCATGTGTTGAGTTCCTCGTCCTTCTTCTCTCCTGAGAAGGCAAAAGGCGGTTTCATAGGGGTCTTAGGGTACCATTGACCTTGCGACTGTCCCTGTTGAGGAACAAGTTGTTGCGGTGGTTGTGTAGCTATCACCGCTGGACCCGAAGAAGAAGAAGCAACAGTCTGTGCGGCTGCTGCAGACGTACCACTTGGTTGTGTGCCAGCTTGTACATGAAAGGGGCCTGACACTGCCGTTAACGGCAACGGCGACTGTGCTGCTGGCCTATATCCTGGTCTTTGCAAAAGATCCAAGATCTGGTCTAGAGAGTTCTGCATAAAGTCCAATCTGCTGTCTACGTGCACATGCAACGACAACATATTGTTCTTCAATACTTTCAGTTGGTCAGACATTGTTGACTCATCCAGACCCTCTAGTGCAGCCTTGTCTGCCTCTAACGTATCAAGCCTGACTGTTCTATTTTTAATCTCTCTTTCTCTGTCGGTACCTTGTTTCAGTTCCCTCTCTAACCGTTCGCGGATCCTTTCGACCTGTTGGAGCTCTAGGAGCTCCCTGCCGCTTGGGGTCAACGGGCTTAACTGCGAGCCCGCCATTTGACTGAAATACTGACCAGAACTCATTGAACCGGAAGTGCCCTGAGGCATTCCCAACTGGGTTGCATTGGTCCCAGACGAGGACGCAGCAGAGGCTGTGCCGTTAGCCATTGCTGCTGCTCTGGCTGCTGCAGCCTCACTAGCTGCTGCGTTTGCTGCCTCTCTTGCTGTTGCTAGAGCTCGGGCTCTGCGTTCGGCACGAAGCCGTCTTTCGTCTTCCGGTTGTAAGGCCTGAAACACGTGTGGGACCCTGAGTGCCCCAGAACGTGTTAGTCTTCTATCGTCAACTCTACCCTCATCGGTGCCTGACCCACTCATCAGTTAGGCAAACACTGCCTGCACTACAACCCCCTAGTGGAGTCCTACCACAGCATGTGTCTGACCGACACCTAATTTTCTAAAAATAATTGTGTCTGGCAGGTCCCCTACTTTACCAATCAAGTGGCAGCCTACAACATTCACAAAAGACTGTCAACATAGTTTAGCTCTACTGTGATTAGTTCACTTACAGCAGCATTAGATAGAACTGGCTATGGTAGTATACAACAGTCCTACTCTAATCTGTTTGTGAGGTGTTAGCAGCTGTCAACCAACTAATCAATAATAAAAACAAAACTATGTTGCAGATGCATAAACAGTGGGTATGGTTGTGTTTCCAGTTGAGCATCAATTAGAACCTACCCTCCCCTCAATCCAACATACCGGTAAGCATCATTGAGCAGCGGTGTCTTCGTGTGCATTGTCGGCCCACCCCTGTGCCCCAAGTCATTGCCGAGCAAGCCAGCCAGTCCACTCTTATTTACCCTCGTACGGAACGAGCCTTCCTACCCGGATTGATCTGGCTGATCAGGAGGGATTTAAGGAGAGCCCCCATCTCCTCAGGAATTATTTAACGCCGCAGACAGGACGACGATCACAACCAGATTCAATCCGAGTCCCCAACCAGAAATGTTTATAGACGGTCTGGTAAGCGTCTCATAAAAGGCTGGCACACCCGGCAGGACTTCTATCAGCGCAGCAAAGTGCCAAAATGGACAGCAGCCATTACATGCGTGACCTACTCCCATTGGGTTGGCATGGTGACCGTGACCCAGTGCTTCGACCAGGGCCCTTCAGAGGCACCGCCCTTTCTCCTTCCAGATGCTTCTTGGAAGATTGTCGTCTCTCAAGGTAGCGCGCTCACGACACCTCACCAAAAGAGAGGACTCTCAAGTTGGACTCACTTCCTCGCGGTAAGAACAGATTGAGAGAGTAGATAAGGTAAGGGAACAACGTACCTGGAGATAGCTGCCCCCAACCACAGATTTCTCACCAATTGAGCTGAGTGTGCATTTGATGACCGGTCTTGGCCTCGGTACCACCCACAACGCAATGCAGTGCCACCTCAGCCGAATGCCACATCAGCATGCTCTCATCACCAATCATACATTCCGCCTGTCACCACGGCAATCAATGCCGTCTTAGCCTTCCGGCGCACACCTCTCTACCCAGGTCGTGCGCCTAATATGCCTGACGTCACAAGAACCAACTGCGAAGAAGCATCGTCAACGCACCAAGTCTGTATAACACCAGCGCACCAAGGTAAGTGGCGAATCAAACCAGCTCCGATACCAAAATGCAAGGAACATGAATGTGGACGAAGCACAGAAATCCAGATTGCAAAATCACACTGAAGTCCAAGTAGTCAAAGCAAGAGCAGATAGCACAATGGAACCGAGTAACCATCCATTTGAGAACGATACAGAAGAATCATGAGTCAATGTCCAAGCCCAATCGGGCAACACCAACAGCATAACCCAATGTAGCTCTCTCTCTTGAATGGCGCCAGGCGCCCTACCTACTCTACAGCCTATCACTACAACTWCAGCTATGAARCAACCAGACAACTTGACGACCAGCGAGTGATGACGTCAACACSAATGCYGACCTCCTCTCCACCAGGTACGTCCTCTCTCTTCACCCTCACTCTCCCTTGTTATCCCACACAGCGCCCTTCACCTCCGAAGAACCACCTTCGCCCTTCACCCCCTACTGCGCCCACAGGCAGCCCGGCTATGGCCGCCAGCGCACTGTGCCCAGGCTGCGTTCTACCGCCTAGCACCAGCCTGCCCTGCTCAGCCTAGCGCAGCGCAGCACACATGCAACGCAGCAGCGTGCCGGCCTTGCTCGCAATGGCCAAGATCCCTGCCCATTTGCCCTCCCTGCCTATATGCCAGTGTTGCGTGTGGGCGGCCTCCCTTGAGCCTGCGCCTGGGCCCCAGTACCTGTACCCAGGCCCGATGCGGTTGGGGCCCACGCAGTGCAGTTGTGCCTCTTTCATCCAGACCTGCGTCCAGATTCAGATAGTGGACCGGTTTCCCATTGGCATTTTCGGCCTCTATTTCCAGTATGCAATGTCGGCCTCACGTTTATGTGCCCAGGGCCTAACCAACTCCGGGGCCCTGGGATTTCCGCATTTGCAGAGCTCCGGTACTCGGTGCACTCCAACCAACTGGCGTGCTGCAACTGTATGGACCCCACTTCGTGAAATGTTTGCACAGAGGGCTCTTGGGCGGGCACTAGGCTTGCTGGGGCCTTAGCCCAGAACATGTACATCATGGCAAGGCCCCTTCTTGAGGGCTAATCCTAACAAAAGCCCAGGCCCTGTCTACCTAGTGTTTTTTCTGTTCGTTGTAACTTGGGGAAAATGTCGAATTTGTCCTTTGGGACATCCACTAAAATTGGAGCAATACAGAGAGGATTAGCATGGCCCCTGCACAAGGATAACCCACATAAAGAGAATGGTTCAAAACTCCAAATTAAAAACAAGGTAATGCTGAATTTTGTTCATTATTTGCATGCCCATGGAATGACTTCAGGTTTATTTACACAGCAGTCATGCTCTAGGTGATAGGTGAACCCAGAGTGATTTATCTTGTCTCCCTGTTACTCGTTAATTAATGTACAAATGTGGAATGTGATATAAACTCTCCCAGTTCCACAATGTTGTATTTCTAGTCCCAATTTTTATGCGAGATGGCCCTTGTTGAAATGTCATGCACCTACTGCCCCCTATCTGCTGGGGTGAGTTTTTCGCCCCCCATTTTTAACTTCAGGAACCCTTTCCGTCCATGCCTTATGGTGTTCTATTCTGACCATGGCTTGGTTTCCTTTTCTGTTTTGTTTTTTGTTCTCCAGTACACACTGTATATTGTCTGGTTGGGAATTGTGGCCCTCTGTAGTGCATTTTTTGGTAAGTGTTTCGCAGCTTTCTCTGTTTCCCGTTATTCATGTGTTGAATAGGATTACTTTTTCACTTGACACATGCAGAAGTCTTTAGCATGTAGAATAGATATTCTGGACTACACTCCTAATCGTTGACGGTGCCATGTGTTCAAGTCCTACATGTGAGATGTGCATTTTGACCAGTCTAGTTTCTGCATTTCTGAACTTCGGCAGACTGTTTGAGCAGGCTGTTTATCTCCTTTTTGCAGAAATGAAAAGCCCAATTCAGAGGAATTCAACAAACAGTGGAGAGGAATCAACCCCAAATCACATGCACTTTTTG